AGATTTGTACTTTCAGACTTGCTAGATTCTGTTTATGTAGCCTTACAATAAAGTAGAAATAGCTCATCTGATCGTGTTCCCTGTCTGGTCTACCTGGGAAGGCTGACATCAATCTTGCAAGTCTGAAAGAACAAATCTCCCGCCATCTCTTTTTACAGCCTGATAAGGAAGATCCTTTCTGAGTTACTTTCTCTGCCTGTTTGCGCTTGCAGGCTCCCCCACACCCTTGTCTGGCCATTCCCTAAGCAGCATCTCCTCCCCCCATCTCCCAAGGTCATTCCCACATACTGCTACACCTCCTGAGGCAGAGCCACAGAACGTCAGGGCGGGCAAAAGCGAGCGGAGGCCCAGACACAGCCTTTGCTCTTCCAAGAGAGGACCGTGGCGTGTCTAATGCCCCATTGCAGAAAATTCCTTGGACAAGTAACGGAAAAAATACTTGGGCATGGCAGAAAGCTTGAAACATGCTGGACTCTAACAGAGGTCTCTTTCTCCCTCGGTGTTCATCCCTGTTAACATGCTGGGAAAGGCAAGGAAAATCTCAGCTCTGGAGCGAGTTGACCTGTTATAAGACATTCTTCCTTGCATTCACATTTGACCCTTTTTAGAAGCAATGCTTTAAACATTTTATTAGTGAAAAAAAGGAATGTAAAATAAGGTGGCCAGTAGGCAGTAAACTGTCTGTGATCCCCCGGGCCTCCCCACATTCTCGATCCAACTTTTTCAGGTCTCATCGGCTCCCTGTTTTCTCTGCTTCAGTTTCTGGCCTCGCCGCTCACTGGGGCCGCCTCAGATTCCTTTGGGAGAAGACCAGTCCTGCTGGCCACTGTGGTATGTTGGGCTGCAGCAAGGGAGGGGCAAGGGTGGGCGCAGGCATGATCCAGCAACCCCCGGCAGCCCTCGCACTCTCCGATGTTTTTGAGGGTTGCATAAATGCTGAGCATCTGGGCAGACAGCATGTATAGGATGATGGCAATGCAGAATATAACCTCAGCAAGCAAGCAAGAAAGAAAAATATCTGGAAATTGATACAGCTAATCTTCCCTTAGTGACCACAACTGGGACTGGCAACTCCATTCCTAAGCGACATGGTCATTAAGTGAGACATCACGTGACCGCGACAGACTTACAACCTCATTTCTGCCACAGTTGTTAAGCGAATCACCCACGATTGTTAAGGGAGACATCATGTGACTGTGACTTGCAATTTTATTGCCAGCTTCTACGTTGACTCTGTCAGAAGCCAGCTGTGAAGTGTGTAAATGGCAATCACGTGATTGTGGGGATGCTGCAATGGTCATAAACGCCTGCCAGTTGCAAAGTGCTCGAATTACAATCACATGACTGTGGGGACACTGCAATGGTCATAAGTGCAAAGACTGGTCATAAAGTTACTTTTTCAGCACCATCATAATTTCACACGGTCACTAAACAGGGCAGTCATTAAGCGAGGACTACCTGTATGGCAGCTAACTCACTCCTCCCCAAATTGACCAAAGTGCAGAAAACGCCTCTTCCTTACACTGCTGCCGAAAACAGACCGATTCAGGGGTCCTCCATAGCGCATATCAGAATCCACGACTGCAAAGGAGGGATCGGCTTTCTTTCCAGTCCTGTGTTCCTGCGGTCAGAGCTGTTCCTCTCCACCGCCTCTCCAGATCCTTGCTTCCCCTGCCTAACATCCATCCAGAATCTGCCATTCAGTATCTTCGGTTCCCCCTCCTGCTTCTTGCGCTCTGAGCCGATGAAGAACAGCCGTGTTTTCTTTCGGGTAACTTGCTTCAGGTGCTGTGTTATCCCCCCTCCCCTCTTTTCTCAGTCCTTTGATCCTCCTCGTGGCTCTTCTTGGCAGCTTATCTGGACCCTCTGTCCCATGTGGGGCCAGGACTGGACGCGGCCTTTGAGGTGGCGTCTGACTAATGCAGAATAGAGTGGAACGCTTAGTTCCCCCGATGTGGAGATTTCTGCTGATGCAGCCTGAAGTTTCCTTTATCATTTTTGCAGTCACACTGCACTGCTATCAATGGCGCTTTACTATTCACAAGCGATATTTATTTATTTATTTATTTATTTATTTATCAATCAATCATATTTGTACCTCCAC